CAACATAAATTACACAGGAGATTGTCTGTTTTTTTCACTTGGAGCTGCTTGGTGAATTTGAACTGCTATAGAAGCCCACCTTTGGGTTAGCTGTGTGCAACTCTGTTACCTGCGTCAACAGACCATGCATGGGATTTTCAACTGGTGCCTATACATAGGAAGGCTGGACAATGAATAAGGAATATTAAAAAGAATTGTTGCTTGAAACAGATGAGAGAGAGAACAGGTTAAAAGAGATATACGATAGGGTATTATGGTTATCACAAGAATGAAGGTTGCCTAGTTGAGTGTACTGGGGCAGAGGTGGGAGTGGGTGGGTGGGTGATTTGTATACCAATGAAGGAATTTTACTTTTCAAAGAGAAGAGCAAACTGAGGGGGAGGGGTGGGCAGGGAGAAAAGTACAACAATGAATGAATGGAAATCCAAAATCTCTGTAAATGTTTCTTAAAATTAATTAAAAAAAAAGATTTGTTGCCTTTGAAAAGGCATATTGGTGAAAAATATGAAAACAGACTTGTTTTAGAAGAACAGCCAGAGTGTTCCTTAGAGTCAAGGATTCTGAAATTTTGCCTAAGGATGGTGAAATTTTGCCTTACATACTTTAGAGCCAGTGAGATTTGGTTAGATCACTTTCTGATAAAACTTACTGTCATTGTTAGTGTTTTAGAGTAAAATATAATTAAAAAATATGAGCTGCTACCTGCCTGCTCTCTAGACTCTCATCTCGCTACCTCTTTATTTTTTTTTTGTTTTTTTCTGTATCATTATTTACCATAACCTTTTAATGAAATCTTACAGCCTAGAATTCTTCCCTTTGAATGTCTTTCAAATTCCCATCTTGAAGACTCAGATCAAGTGTTTTCTCTGATGCTTTCCTTAATTCCTGCAGGTAGATTAGCTAGCTAGTCTCTCTCCTGTGCTTTGTTGTTCCATGAAGCTCTAGTATATATATATATCTGTCATCATGTTTAGTACTTGTTTACAGCTTGGCTTTTTCAGAGACAGTTTGGGTTGTCTCCAGAATAATGAATCATCTGGGTTTGCCTACCACTGAAAATTTATGTTCTAAATGATATCATTAATTTTAAGGAAGATTGTCATTAAAAGAGTAATTATCTTTGCCTAATATTTTCCCTTATGTCAAGTTATTACAGTAGAAATAAAATATCTGGTTTTCCTGTTTTTTGTTTAGGTTATTGCAGGAGTAACCAGGACATTATCTTCTGGAAGTAATGCCCACAGAAAGCGGAAGTTGTTCAGCTGCTCGTCAAGCAAAACAAAAGCGCAAATCACATAGCCTTTCTATAAGAAGAACCAACAGCTCAGAACAGGAAAGAACGGGACTACCAAGAGAAATGTTAGAAGGACAAGTAAGTATTGATCAGTGTTTTACTTTGTAAGATGTTGATTATATGTAGATGTGTGTGTGTGTGTTAAACACATCATTATCTCCAAAGTAAAAAAAAAAAAAAAGGGAAAAAAGTATGGATTATTAAAAAAAAGAAGTCACCGCCAACAAAATCACTCAAATTAATGTCAAATAAAATACCATACACAGAGATAGAGGCAAGATTAACCTGTGTGTGAATTTGGTAAAAAAGAACGTAGTGGGCCAGTTTGGATCTGTTTCTATTCTTTGTATATGCTAATAGATAATAAAATTTTAGAGAGGTTTTTTTATGCTTTTGATAATTAAAGAGTATCACATACAATTTTAATCATCTCTTGTTTTTAGAAATCTGATGTTTTGATAACTTGATGTAGCTCTGTCCTTGTTTCTAAGAGACCCTTGGCCTGGTAGTGTTATGTGCTGAGCCAAAGGTCAGCAGCTGAAATCCTCTCTCATAAAGATGTAGAGCCCCTAAGACTTGATGGAGGGTCACCATGGGCGTCAGCTCAGTGGCAGTGAGGTTAATGTCTCCGCTTCAGTGAGTGTGCCATCTGCATTTATTATTACATTATTGTCAAGAATATGATATTTAGATTTTAAGGGTAAATAGCATGTTGATAAAAATTAAGTTTGGCTTACACTTTCTATTTCTTTTATAGTGAAAATATTATTGTGAAACTTCAACAAAAATATATTTATAGTTAAAAAAATTATCACTATGTCTAATTATTTAGTAAAAATACCCACTGCTGTCCAATTGATTCACACTCAAGGCAGCCAACCCTCCATTGGCATTCAGAGATTGTTGTGTGAGAGTAGACTGTCTCATCTTTCTTCTGTGGAGAAGCTGGTGTGTTTGAACTTTTGGGTTATTAGCCCAACATATAACCCATTACACCTTCAGGATTCTTTTAATTTATATACTTATAGCCATTCTTTCACAATATGAACTAATTTATAGGTTTTAATTTTATAAGAGTTTAAGAGTTAGACCTGAGAAATTGTTTGATGATATTAGATCTTAATTAGAACCATATAGGTAACTTTTATGTTGGAAATATTTATTTTTTTTTAACTTCTTCAATATAATCTTTTTAAAGGGTAGTAAAATACACTGAGAACCTGAAACCATTCTTCAAACAGAAGTCAGATATATATTTAATAAATAAATGAATATATTGAATAAATAGGTGGATAAACTACACCTGTTTCTACTCTGTATATGCTTTGGCTATATACATGGCCTAGTGAGTAAGGAGTTGAGCTGCCAATCCAATGGCACATGGTTCAAACCTACCAACTGCTCTAAGAGAGAAAGATGCTCAATCTACTGTGATTTACAGCTTCTGAACCCCTGCTGGGGGTTCAGCTATGAGTTTGGTCCTGGCTCGGAATACAACAATTACAACAATATGAAATGATTGGGTTAAATTTGATACTGGGGATGAAAGAATAGCTTTCAGGTGCCTTAGAAATACCTTTGATATTCATTGAAAGTGAGTATCTAAATCAGGGCTATCTCATAGAACTTCTGCAGTGATCAAAACTGGTACTGTAATCACTAACCACGTGATTGTTAAGCAAAAGATATGACCGAGAGACTGAAGTTGGAATTTTCATTCTTTTGCATTTATAAATAGTAATTTTTAGGTAGTGGCTACCTTACAAGTCAGTATAGGTAAACAGTCTAAAACAGGTTTTTAAAATTTTAATATCTACTTAGATTTCTTATGGTGAAAGTTCCACAGTCTCATCAGCTAACAGATTCTAAAGGTAAATGTCCTATGAAATAGATTCTTTTTTTCCTGGCCTTTTTGAGAGCCAGTACTCTATTGTGATGTAAAGCAAGTAAGTGATTGTAACTCATAGTCTCATAGGTTACTCATAGTAACCTTTTTTGAAGGTAATTTCACTTTATGTTGGCACCATTTCCTAGACAGTGCTTATTTGTTGACTGAAGATGCATTTGAACCAATCAGCATGTTTCTGAGTGGCCAGTATGCCAATGTCTCTCCCTAGTTGAACAGCAAGGTGGAGAAAATAGTGACTGATCCATGACCATGGTCCAAGCATTTGGCATGGTAGGTATAAGTGGAAGATCTAGATATTAAGAGTTGTTAACTGCAGATAGATTTGAATTGAGTAATAAGCAAGAAAGCTTTAGTGACAAAGTTGGGAATGCATTTTCAGTTGTTGGGGGACAAAATAAGTGAGAGAATGAACATTAGTGTGAATGAAATTTTCTAACAGGTTTAAATTGTCTTACATTCGTACATAAGGTAGTTAAGAAAGCAGTGACGAGAAGTCTTTTGTTGCAAAGGATTGCTGAATCCTTAGATATGTACCAAGCATGAATGACTGTGTTTATATACTGCAGTTTTTTCAGTTTCATGTAAATGTGACATGATAAAATGCAAATGTATTCTAAAGTTTTGCTAAATTTATAGTAGCTTTCTGGCACAAGTTTTCTCAAGTAATACTAAAATTTCAGCACCTGTCATTTCAGAACTTGTGCAACATCATGGTATCAAAAGTTGTACCATTAAAAACATTTGAAAAACAATTGAAAAAGTTCTTCTGTTTGGCTCTACTCGCCCTCTAGTGGAAAAGTCCTCATTTCAGTTTATTTTCTTGATTGTATGTCATTTTTTGAAATGAGATTAATGTGGACATCTCAGCATTATTTTCTGAAACAGTTACTTTTAATACTGAGATGTGCTTTAATATTTAAACCCCCCCCCCATTTTCTTTGCCTGATAATAAGGATCTTCAAAACATCTTGAGTATAGGTGAATAGAATTCCTAAATTTGAGTGTACCTTTGACCTTGAGTAGAAGAATAAGAAAGACTTCCCTAAAGAAGTGACATTTGCACTGAGAAGCAAACCATGAAGAGGGATTTATAGATGAGGTGTTGAGGGAAGGATGTTCAGTGCAGAAGGAATTAGAACAGGCAAATTCTTCAAGGCAGGATGTTGTGCTATTGAATGGGAAGTAATCCATATCACACCCTCTCGTGGGTTTTCAGAGGCAGTAAAATCACACAGGATGAACTTGCCCATCCTTCTCCTGAGGAGCAGCTCATAGATTCAAACCACATACCTTTGGATTGACAGTGCAGTTCCTTAAAAAATGGGTTTATTTTGATTTTAAATCCTTATAGTAATCACTGTATTTTTCCAGTTTTTTAAATTTCCTCTTTTCATAATTTAGTTTTCATTTTCATTTATATTCTAGGTGTTCACACTTGCCCCCCCCATATCTATATCTGTAGTTAGTTGCTACTAAGCCTATTCTAACTAATGGCAAATTTCTCTCCTTGTGTGGATACTATACTTTTCTTTTTTTTTTTAAATTTATTTTATTTCATTTTTTTGTGTGTGTGTGTACCGTCACATCAGATCTGACTGGTACAGGAGGAGATTGTTCCTCCTTCTTCAGCAGAGCATCTGGTGGATTCGGACCTTCCATCTCTGAGATTGCAATTGCAGCTTCTTGCCACTAGTCCACCAGAGCTCGCCTATACTTTTCTTTTTTAAAGGTAACTTGCAAAATTTAAAAATTCTGTGATTATTTAAAAATTTATATCACTAAAGTGCATTTATTAGAGATCATATTTCCCCAATTTTTTTCTTCCTAAGAGGTTAATCAGTGTGAATTTATAATAAACTTTGAATATATTTGTAGACATGTATTTGTTTTAAAATTTGCAGTTCACTGATGGCCTAGTGGTAAGAAGCTTCGCTGCAGTCCCAAAGGCATATGGTTTAAATCCATGAGCTAGCTGCTCCTCAGGAGAACGATGGGCAATCTCCTCCTGTGCAATTAAACCGCCTCTGGAAATTCACCAGAGGGTCAGCTATAGGTCAGTTCTGATTTGACGGTACACAACAACAAACAGGAGAAAGTTTGTGCTGTATGTAAATTTGGAAATCACTTGGAAAATAATAGTGTCAGATAGATGCTGCCCTGGACATGCTCACCAAGTTGTGCCAACAACCACTTGGCCAACTGACTGGAAGAGATTTATATTTGTTCCCATCCCAAAGAAAGGTGACCAAATAGAGTGTGAAAACTATAGAACAATCTCATTGATTTCACATGCAAGCAAAATTCTACTGAAGATTATCCAAAAACAAGTGGAACAGCACATCAGCAGAGAACTGCCAGAAGTCCAGGCTGAGTTTAGAAGGGGTC